GTGGATATCGGTAGATTAAAACGTTTACTCAATGAACAACATTTTGGAACAATATTTTGAGATATAAAATAATAAAAATACAATTTTATTAATTTACCGCGATATAGTTTTCTTTGTTATAGTGTAGCGAGAAAACAACTAACAAGAAGTTGAACCATACGTACATTGTAAATACGAAGAGTAACTGGGTTTCTTAATAACCCTGATTAACGGGTTCGGACTGGTGGTTTGGTAGCCTGACTTTTACGCGTACAGACTTACATCTCATCATTTCAACCAGAGTTACTTATGGACTAACGCAATCTCGGTCATCCTTTTTTTTCTTTTTCTTGGGTCATTGAACGTTAAGCCGTTTCCTAATTACTCTGAGTTCTGGCCGAATTTTGCGTACAAACGTTAAGACAAACACATCCACACACATACATATACACTCGAGTATTAGAGAATTAACCAAACCTTTTTCTATGAAAAGTCCTTCAGTCTTCTTAACTTCGTGTTAACTTGAGGCTTTTGTAAAAATGAGAAACGAAAGATGGGCCAGTCTTTGCCCAAAACTTTTGTCTTATGGACTGCACTGACCTGAACATCGTATTCAAGCCAAATGGCTACAGTTCAATGCGAATCAGCCGGCCTCTTCTAAGAAGATTGACCTGCCAATTTCTTTATCATGTAACTCCATAAAAAATGAAAGTCTTCATAACAATCTCATCTCAGGAGAGTCTTCGCAACTCGCATTTTTTAAATATATACGTCTTTTTATGTTCGCACACACACACCAACCTACACATCTGTTCATCTATCCATCTTGCCTCCTAGCTGTCTATTCATCTCCCCTACACACATTCTCACCTACACATCTAAATACTTGTCCACCTTCCTATTTACACTTTTTTCTCCACATCACCACCGAAGCACCGACTCTCCATCCATTCACCCACTCAATTATCCATCTACTCATTTAGGCGCATCGTCACACACACCCATCTAACCATCCAGCCATTCAACCATCTCGCTATCCTCATCCACGTGGTTAGCTGGCTGGATTATTTCAATTGAATTGCATTGCATTACATTGCATTGAGTAGTTAATTATTGTTAACTGCTTTCCGCAAATCAATCTAGACTGCTGAACTCAGCTATTACCAAGCCCGATTTGCCTGGCAAGGACACTAGCCAACAGATCGTCGGTCGGCGACTGTCGGTGCTGAAGCCTCTGCTTCAGACGGACATCTTCTTCTCGGCCAGTCTGGCCAGCCTGCGTGTCCACGAGGTGTACTGCAGCAGACAAGTGGTGTGCGGATTCGGAGCGGCGAGCCGGCGTGACACATTTGAGTGCAGAGACGGAGACGCCGAAGCGGCGAGACGAGGAGGGCCGGTGAACGAGGATATTAGAGCAAAAGCAGAGAATGAGAAGAGACTGGATGCAGACAAAGGGGACTGGTCAAGGGCGGGTCTGACGCCGACTGCGGCTCTTGTCTCTAGCGCCACCTCGTTCACTCAACTCTTCTCAAGCTCGGTCAACTTTTTCAGAGAAGGCGACGGCGACGGTGACGGTGAATGTAGTTTGGACCGGTCGGCCAACCAACTCGCCGGAGCCGGACGGTGGAAAGGAGGAGGCACTTTGGGCTCGAGCATGCAACGACCAGATCTTTTGCAACTGCTTTTGCACGCGCAAGACGAGTTCGCGTTTGACGAGCGGCCATTGGCCGAGTCCGCTCAGAGAGGCGGTGAAGACGAGGAGGACAAGGAGGGCGAGGAAGGCGACGAGGGCGAGCAACAGAACAGTCAACTGGAGGACGGGACAGAGTATGCGCAGAGGGACAAGGCCGAATTGGAGGGAAACCGATTTTCCGGCCGATCCATAAAGTTGCGGCACCTGCTCGGCCAGTTGGTGGACCTGTTCGACTTGACCCTCTTCCTCGATCGCTACTTTCTGCTGCTGATGGTGATTTCAGTGCTCGCTCAGCTCACCTACTTCATCCCTTTTGTCTACCTCATCGACTACGCCCGAGAGGCTAACATCCCCAAAGACCACGCAGTCTTCATGCTCGGTGTGCTCGGTAAGGCTCTGAGTGCGGTTGCTTGAGTAGGTATGTATGTATGCATGTGTATGGGACACATCAGCAGGCCAGGGCATACTTCTTACAACCGAGTCATGCAAACTCACCGGTCCGTCCCGAAATGCCTTAATTATAAATGAAGAGAAGATGGACTTCGAAAAATCCCTTAGTAGCTTGATACCGACATATCTTCCATTCAGTTTAAGAAGGCGGGTGAAAGGGATTGGTAGATTAGCCTCACCAGATATCGAAGGAGGATTGCCTTGGACTTGTGAATGCTGAATTGAGCAAGGAGGACCTTGCCTCGCAATCCTACGACTCCTATGAATCTGTGCTGAGCTCTCGTCCGTCACGTGACGGACATGGTCAAAGCCAGAAACCACTTTATGCAAACGATCACCAAAAAATGTCCATTACATGACGAACGAGAGTTCAGCATGAAGTCATCAGGGTTGTAGGATGATAAGCCGAGGTCTTTTTTGCATAATTCAGCAGTCATACGTTCAAGGCAGCTCTTTCGGTGCCCGGTGAGGCCAACTTACGAATCCCTTCCACCCGCCTTCTAAAACGAAACGAAAAGTATGCCAATTTCACGCTGTAAGTATGCCGAATTTGATGAGACGCAAAGTGGTTTAAGAGGCGTATTCTTCTTATATCATTTAAAGTCATGAAAGACCTGTAGTTGGGTTTTGTCACACATTTCCACTGCATTTCAGACAGTCTTGCTTCTCAATAGGTGGGCCTCACCTGGCCTCATCCGCATCCCAACAGGACTCGAATCCGGTTTGTGCGAGGACACGTTACCCACTACGTCAGGCTGCCACGACAGGACAGATGTGAATTTCAAGTAGGAACAGTCATTTTCCTATATCACATTCTGTCGTGGGATTGCTGATGCTGCATAAATAGGTTAGTGACACGTCAATCCAAGATCATGTGCATCCATACGTGTGTCTGTTTGTGTGCACGGGTACATTTCCCAAACCGGCAGCCATATC